GACAATCATCACCAAATAGCGCCTGACGGTTATAATAAATCAGAAGGTGAACACAAAGTATTGAATACGTTCATTTTTGACACACCACAAAATGAATCAGCAGACCACAAACACACAGAGCAAGGAAAGCACACTGGCAAGCGAGTTGGCGAATTGCTGAATCTATTAATAAGATTAAAATGTTTGTATATATACATAGGAAAATGTCGAGTCATCGAGATATTATGAAAAGTTCGAAATAAAAATTTAGTACTTACTTACTTACTCCTGTTACCCCCAATGGAGCACTGGCCGCCCACCAGCAGCATTCTCAAACCAACTCTCTCCTGGGCTTCCCTCTCCAGTTCTGTCCAATGTTTGTTCATTCCTCTCATATCTTTCTCTATTTCTCGGCGTAGTGTGTTCTTTGGCCTTCCTTTTCTCCTTTTGCCTTGAGGGTTCCATATGAGGGCTTGTCTCTTAACGCAGTTAGGTGCTTTTCGTAGTGTGTGTCCTATCCACTTTCAACACTTCTTCCTGATTTCCTCCTCCACTGGAATCTGGTTTGTTCTCTCCTACAGCAAGTTGTTGCTGATAGTCTCTGGCCAACGAATCCAAAGCATTTTGCGTAGACAACTGTTAATAAACAGTTGTATCTTCTGGATGATGGCTTTCGTAGTTCTCCATGTTTCCGCTCCATACAGTAGAACTGTCTTCACATTTGTATTGAAAATGCTGATTTTGGTTTTGGTTGAAAGTTGTTTGGAGTTCCAGATATTTTTCAACTGTAAAAATGCAGCACTTGCTTTGCCAATCGGCGCCCTCACATATGCATCGGATCCACCTTTCTCGTCGATGATGCTGCCCAGATATGTAAAGGTGTCAACTTCCTCCAAGGCATCTCCATCAAGAGTGATTTGGTTGGTGCATGTTGTGTTGTATCGGAGAATTTTGCTTTTTCCTTTATGTATGTTAAGACCTACTGCTGCTGCAGAGTCTGCTGCTACACTGGTCGTCTTTTTTTGTATTTGTTGTTGCGTGTGAGAGAGAAGTGACGTAGTAATAAACTGGAGAAACGAGTTATTCCTTTTAGTGAGAAACTGGATTATTTCCAGGAAGGCGCTTATTAGGTCTAGTTCAAACTACTAGAGCGATGACCATAAATTAAATGGTAACTAAGTGTATAGGGATTGTCACAAAAAATTGTTTGGAGCAAGTACTTTATTCATTTTTCATTGCTACCAGGCCCCTGTCTAGTGTGCTAAGATCACTTCACATTAGTACGTATGTGCGTATTATGGAGTATTCAAGTCCTAATTCCATATTCTATATAATATATGTATGTGACGTATACTTGCTACCTCGAGCACTTTTGTCTGTGTGTGCACTATGGACCATGTGTAAATTTCTGACTTGTAGATTCTATCAACAATACATAATAAAATACGCACTTGAAATTTTAGCCAACCGCCCCCTATTACTGATGTACACTTGATTCCACTCATAGCTTTTGAGATGTTGCATAGTTAGTTCCGAGAAAGGCAATTCTCGAGAACAAGTTGTGCAGGATGAAAGCACTAATTGAACTTAAAGTAAATTAGCGATGTTATGATTTCTTGCCTCAAATGTGATCGATCTATTATAAAAATTTAACTTCATAATAATTGTTACTCAATGTAAATTAACCGGCTTAAGTGTTGTATTATTTGTTTAGCCAAGTGTAATATTCTCGTAATTCGTTATTGGAGCTTCTCTATTCCTGATAAAAAACAGTCGACTTTCCAACCTACATAATCAGACAAAACTTTGCACAGTGTCATCCTTAGACATTTTATTTCCGGTTAAAAAAACATTTTAAAATTTACACATTTTTGAAACCATGAATCGATCAATGTTAGACTACCATTGGAAACCTGGAAGCACTGCAAGACGGCTGTTCCGTCATGGTATGGGACTCCTCAGCAGTGCATATCCACGACTCCTGCACCTTGCAGGATTCGTAATGCAAATTACCTGTGCTCACTAGTGACTAGCTGCGTGAGGAATCTTCTCCGAGTTCTAGTGGGAAGTCGTGACCAGTGAAGTTCAGCCTGTTCGGGTGTACACAGTAACTACCGAAGACTGTGCATGAGGTTGGGCAACCCCGCGGATTGGTCAAGTTAGACATTAAGACTGTTAGATACCCGCTCAGTGGTCCGAGGGTTAGTTGTTCGCGCACAATACCGAAGGTCCTGGGTTCGGTTCCTGCGAGGTGCAGGAGTCGTGGGTGCGCACTGCTGAGGAGTCCCATACCAGGACTTGACGGCCGTCTTGCAGTGCTTCCAGGTTTCTAATGGTGGTCTAACATTGATTGATTCATGGTTTCAAAAATGTGTAACTTAACAATCTTCACAATTCCGTAAGGAAAATTTTAAAATTTATAAACAGATAATGATGCAAAGTTTTTACTGATGATGAACTGAGTTATAGCCGATATCATAAAGTTTTCTGACTTTTATGTCATCTATTTGATTATGGGTAATATAACATGACAACTTCAGGACTTGAACGTAAAGAACCACTCAGGTTGATAAATCAAAAAGCAGATAAAGCGTTTACTGAAATCAGTGTCAAAACGTAGAGGAAAATTGTTACACCTGCATGTAAACACGTCATCTTGATATACTTGAACTATTACGAGTTTACCTAGTCAGAAAACGAGAGCGAGGATCGAGGATCCGGCGACACAAAATGTTACTCAAACCCGATTATTCCAACCCCCATATTGAGTGAAAATAAGAAGACATGATATGAAGTAGAACTTGTATTCTACAAGCATCCAGAAAGTACGAGGTCCGAGTCCAGAAGAGAATCAGGATACCGGACTAGGGATCCGGGAACGAGCTCTGATCCTGGTCGTGGTCATAAAGCGTTACAAATAACGCGTATTTATACATTTCGGTCGAATGGGAAACAGCATCGAAGTCTGTGACATTGACAATTAAGACGACCAATTGGAAGCAACATTTGAAGTGACATTGATAGTCAAGACAACCAATAAGAAACAACATTAGAGAATGTGACATGATACCTAGGATGACCATAAAATTGACCAGTATGAATTAACCAATAGGAATAGACCAATAATTCTCTCAGGATATTGGATGAATATCCTAACAAAAATCATGTGCATTCATAGTTTATATACTGACTCTACTTTTAAGAAGAAAACAAGATTGGTTGAATAGAAACATTCATTATTATAACCGATTGTACCAGTGATTGTTTTACTAAACTTCTTGTTTATAGTCACACTTCTTGTACAACACTTTCCCTGGTATGCGGTTACCATCTTGATTCCTTTATTCTGTATCTCTTCGCCCATTTCTCTGACATGATTTCGATACCGCGAAATGGCCAACAAATATACTCTTTCATCTGGAGTATCTCTTCTCTCCTGTTATTGGTTCATGAGGGGAAATCGAGTAACATATCAGAACGTAATTGGTGTGTAGATGTGTTTGTTCATAGTCAACCTCGACTCGATCTACTTCAAGTTCTTGGTTTAGGCTGAAATAATCACTATAATCTACCAGTATGTCACACTGATATGATAGATATCCTATCAGGTTAAGATTAGATTGAATTTATTCGGCTTCGTGAGAGCTTCTAGAAGCTTCATTAAACTTTCTAGTAGCCGTCCTAAAATTTAAATAATCGACAGTTTTTAACTGCCGTTAATTCGCAATATTGCACTGTCATTATTCAACTGGTATAGTATATATTTACCTATCTAAACCCTAACTTGGCTGAAATTTATTGACTACAAAAAATGTTTCACTACAAAAACGAAGCAACTCTTTTCAAAGCTATCACTTCATACACCATGGAAGGATACTCCTTGAGGAACCTGAAAGGGAAGGTAGATTAGTGTTGGTCTGAGCCACCTAAAGGCGTAATTGTAGAGCCCAAGGGACAACTAATTCAGGCCGACCACTCACGACCTTTTTATAAGAAGTTTTTAAAGTGTTAGCTTCGCTCTTGTTTAAAAGACCTTACCGCCGGAGACGGAAATCCGTGAGGCAAGGTGAGGTGTGACATTTTTAGGTTCGACCTTTTCTAACTTCCTTCTTCCTTGTGAGAAGGCAGCATCGCTGTAGATGCTAGTTGTCCCGAAGGAAACACCTTACTACTACTATCAAACCCCTCCACAGTCAGCGGTGCGACTTCGCCTTCAGACCTTGAGTAGCTAGCTGATTTTACTCTTATCGTTCTCCAATCGACCTGCCTGGCTGGCATGATAGAACCTACAGGAACATATATGCCAGCCAATAATATAGCTCGGTTGGGTCATCACCATAGACAAGCCCGACCTGATTGACTGACTGAATGACTAATGACTAATTTAACGACAGAATGTTACCGATTATCTTTAAAATTTGAATAAAAAAATACCTCAAAGTAGTATCTCAACTAAATATACTTACACAACTAGAAATACACATGTTAGTGGGACGTTGATGGAATTAAAGCATGACTACGTTGCTGTGCGCTGATTGGCTAATTTCCTATCCAATCAGCGCCTGGTCGAATCTTGGAGAACAGGGTAGAAGATTCTCGTACAGTTAGCTGCGTGCTGATTGGTTGAATCTAATCTAGTTGATCACATGAGTTTCTATCCAGAAGCTTCTCATGTAAATGCTATAAATAGACTAACGTTGTATCTATTTTTGCCTTCGCTTTCGCCATCACCCTTGGCTTCTTATTCCATTTAACCTTTTTCTATTTGGAATATAATCTTTCATGTTCAACCGTATTCTGATTTGGGAACTTGTCCAGTGTATTGTGTGGTCAGAGAATAACTAAGCAATAGGATTTAGCTGGGAATTATCTAAGCAAGCGTTACAATAACACATCTACTTAATTCTCGTCTACTTTCTTTTTATTGTTCGAAAGAAAAAAAAAGTAACTCATCAGTTAGAGAGAAGAATTTGTTATTAGAATTCAAAGATAATATTTTTTTTAATAAACAGAAAAACAAACAGACATTCATCATTGATAATAATTAGAAAAAAAACAAGATTTGGAGATTAATAAATATTTTGACAGAGTTGTTCAGTTTTATTATCAAAATCATGATTGATGATATCTAATGCTTGAGTGATTGCTTCTTCACGTACATTTGCATAGATTGAATGGAACTAATAAATAACAAAATAGAAATTAAAAAAGAATAATTTAGTAAGAAAGAAAGAACCAACAAGGCACTGAACTTGGATATTGATCGTCGACAAAGTAACGCACACACAGTTTTTGTTTTACAGGCTACTAATTAATATATGATAGTGAATGATAAGAAGTTAGATATGCACACTGTTGGATGTTGGCTCAGTGCTGTGACTGTCTGTCTAGAGGTTAAGTATGTTCACGAGTGAGAGTGAAGATTGTGGGTTCGATTCCCGGGCGTCGGGGGGTCGTGAATGCACATAGTTGAAAGAGATCTCATACTAGGACGAAACGGTTATCTAGTGCTTTCAGGTTTCTAATGGTGATTGATTGCTGTTTAGCTACTTACGGGTTCACCTTAGTCGATAAACGAGAGCGAGACAATGAATTAATCAGCGTCCAGGTAGGCTACTGTGATTTGTTGACCCAAAAATACTAATGAGAAGTCTTGATATTAGCGTAGAAAGTGTATTCTAAAAACACCCAGCCAGTACACAATGATCTCAGGCACATAAATCGTGTTTATTTATACACCGTAGAGACGTCTTTGGGAGGGTCACAAAATAACACAGTGACCAATCACAGCCATGTTTTTTCCTGGCGGGAAATGTGATCTCAAGGTCAACTGATCAGCCCAAAAATAAAATCCAAAATTAAGACAAATTTATCAAGCGATTTCTGGGCATTTAACCTCCCCAACAATTTTTAGATTTCAATATTATTATGATTCTCAACGAATGTTATCGTGAAATCACTGTCCTACTTCTAACTTGAATAATATTATTGTGGTGTACGCTACTTATGTTCACATAAGTAGTATATGATATCAAACGGAAATCAAACGTCTGAGAGCTGAAAGATCGAGAAGGAAAGAATGAAAACAGAAGGCGATTTGTGCGTAACGTAAAGTGAACTGTGAAGTCTGAACAGTCTAAATGAAAGAACACTGAAATCTGAAACAAATAAGGATTAGTTTGCAAATGATGAAGGTTTCACGGAAAGGTTTTGTACATATGCTTAACAACTCTGTAATATTAGCTTATATATATATATAGATGTTGATATCCTCACCTGAGTTTTCGTGCACAACACTATAAGTAGTACTTTTTTATTCTAGAATCACTAGACAGCGGTTTTGTCCTATTATGAGATGCAAGTACAGTACACATCCACGATCTTGCTAGCGGGATTCGAAACCAGGACTTTGGGTCTCGCTTGTAAACACTTATTAACCTCTTAAATGTCTAACTTTAATAATAATAATCCACAATATTGCGCGACTATCATTTATTGTCTTCGGTGGGTAGCAGCTAGCTGCTTCACATTCGACATGGTTGAACTCCACAGGCCATGGTTTACCACTGGAACTCCGAGAATTTACTCACGAAGCTAGTCACTGTTTAAGTATATTAATAATTGAGTTGTGTGCATATCGGTTACCGAAATACAAACATGATCGTAAATCTGAATCGTTGTAGTGAACGAGAACACAGGTGAGGGCAACCAAATTGTATTTAACGGAAATTACAAAGTTACTCAGTAAAATTGGAAAACCATATCGTAAACGGTTAATTTCCAAATCTTTAATCCATCATCAATCCATTGTCTGACATTTCAATATTCATGCGTTTCATACAAATTCCATTGTGTTCTAACTCTTCCTTTCTTGATCTTCCCCTATCTTCTGCTGCCAGACATTACGTTTACACTCGCGTCATATACTACTTATAAGTAGCACGCACCACATCGTTTGTTGTCAAAACACATATCAAGTGCTAAATCGATAACCAGTCAGTGTTTCCTATCACCAGAATAATTTACTATCACCCAAAATACAGTAAATTAACATAATATCATTCACCGTACAATTATTGATCAACTATAAACATTGGCAATGAGTATGACATACTCCATAATCGACAATTTATCATTAACTAACGAACTAACTAACTAACTAACCTGGTCAAATAATTCTTTAGGTCCTTTTAATTTTGTACGTTTCATCTGATTATCAGTTTTTGGTAATTTTGATTTTCTAACAAGAGGATTTTGTTTAGCTTTTATTCTCTCCAATTGTCTCTTTTCATTCTCTTCATCTTTTAATGCCTATTTGTTGAACGGAGAGAGAGAGAAAAAAGCAGTAACAAAATATTCAATCAATCAATCTTTGTTAGACCACCATTAGAAACCTGGAAGCACTGAAAGACAGACGTTTCGTCCTGGTATGGGACTACTCATCAGTGGCAGTGTGCATCCACGACTCTTGCACCTCTCAGGATTCGAACCCAGGACATTCGGCGTTGTAGGCGAACGCCTCACCATCGGACCACTGGGCCGGCATCCAACGGTGTTTATGTCTAACTCTGATTGATCTAGGGATTTTGCGCGACCTCACCGATTTTTCTTTGGTAGTTACTACCTACACCCGACAAGGTTGAACTCCATTGGTCATGTTTTCTCAACTAGAACTCCGAGAATTTCCTCACGAAACTAACTAGTCACTAGTGAGCACTGTTACGATATTTTGGGGCAGAGTTTTGGAGGTTTGTGTTTTTTTACACATTTAAAATCATCAATCAATCATTTGTTAGACTACACCATTAGAAACCTGGAAGCACTGCAAGACGGCCGTTTCGTCCTGGTATGGGACTCATCAATGGTCGTCCAGTGCTTCCAGGTTTCTAATGGTGGTCTAACAATGATTGATGGATGATTTCAAATGTGTAAAAACACTAAAGCCTCCAAAACTCTGCCCCAAAGTGTAGTAACAAAATAGTTGGAATTTTGAATAAAATTGGTTGACAGATTTCTCTGTGAATAGAAAGAATTGTCTGAGAGTAAATAGACATATTAGTCATCATATCCAGTCTATTAGGTATGAGAATGGGGAATGAAGCATAGTTTCTCATTTGATGTGTGATATGAATAAAAAGGATACTATCCCATAAACTCAGGTCTCATGTGGACAGAAATATTAACATATCGCTATTGTGACATGGGACAAAAGGTAACAAGTGTGTGTTGAACCCATTCTCATCAAGCTGGTCTGCTATTCTTACTATCCTATGCCATACGGTGTATATACCATAAGTCATATTGCTTCCTATGTGTTATGTTCGTCACTTGGTACGCTTGAAGCTATTACGAGTTCACCTTAGTCGATAAACGTGAACGAGACAATGAACCAGCGTCCAGGTAGGCTACCTTGATCCGAAAATGGCAAAAACAGAAGTCTTGATATAGCGTAGGAAGTATATTCTACAACACCCAGCAATCAAGCACAAACAACTCTCGTTTATTTATACATTATAGAAACGTCCTTGGGACAGTTACGAAACTATAGCACACTAAAATACACAGCAGCCAATCACAGCCATGGATTTTCCCGGTGGGTCAAGGTCAGCTGATCAGTCCGTGCTCGCAAACATGAAATCCTAAATAAGGCATGATTCAAGCTAGTTCTGGGGATCTAACATCCCCAACACTATGAGACAAGAGGTTCGTAATGATAAATATTGTAGATGGTTTGGCATTACTTTGGCGAGTATTGCTAATAGTCCGTATACAAATTCGGTTTGCTAGATGACCGAATTCATTGATAATACTAGTAGTTGTCTTGTAACATTCCTGAGGGCCATTGTCATTGGGGTGCTGTATCGCAGATCACCATTACTAATAGTCATGAGTTTGACAGTCGTGTAAACGGGATGGGTCATATTGGCCTGTTCATCGTGCTGTGCGTATTGATTGACCCAATCATGAATTGGAAATAATCACGATATGTCTTGGTGTATATCAATGGTGTGAATATTTCGTTCACCAGGGTGTCAGCTACTTGTGTGGTTGCATCACAGAACTGAGCTGTACTGTTCACGTTGTAGTGTTAACACGTGGACAGAGTTCTAGGACGACCATAAAAATGACCATTAGGAATTAACCAATAGGAATAGACCAATAATTCTCTTAGGATATTGGATGAATATCCTAACAACTTATACAATATGCACACTTAGTCTTCAATCATAGATTCTTATTTAAACTGATTATAGACTGTCTTCTCTCGACCCTCGTCAGCCAGTCAGTCAGTCAACAAGAACATAGAACTTCGTACGTATGCACCTACATACAATCAGTTCAAGTTGCTATACCACATTAGCACACAGAGATGCAATTGTCACTTCAAATCCCATAGTAGTAGAGGTAGTAGAAGTATTAGCAGTAATCGGAAATCTTAATGTTCGATGTTATTATTCAAGAAGTATAATCTAGTGAAATAAACTTAAAAAGAAAAAGATAAAGGTGATAAGGAATTCGGAAGATTAGGATTTGACAGAACACAAAGAGTGGATGCACTTGCGCCATCGCAAACCATTTTTAACCAGTGTCATTCAAGGTGTCTATTATCATCGATCATTATTTTCTCGCCGGCCCTAACCAGGTAGTCTACCTACACCTACCAACATGACACAGTCCAGTTGTCAGTAACTCCATGAATTTGTGCCATCATGTTTTAGTATGATGGTAGTTTAATTTTACTAAAAATCTCTTCGGTAGTAAGTTTCATGCAACTATGTACTGCATTCTACTATTTATAAGCAAGCAATCTTGTGAATAAGTAACATCCACTACTACACATTGGTCTATGCTTTAAATGTGGTTAGCTTAACTAATAAGTGTTGAGATTAACTTACTTTTGTCAATGGTATTTCAGTGTAACTTGTAAATTGATTTAAACTAAGCTTTGAAGGAAGAATTTCTAGATCTTTACAAACTGGAACTAATTTCATTGATGATAATGACGTTGTTGATGTTGATGATGTTGATGTCGACGACAAAGTATTTCTTGCATGTACTTTCTGCTTAGATGATGATACTTGAACAGATGATTTTTTGTCAGAAACTTGAACTTTACACTTCTTAGCTGTGTTTTCTCCCATCAAATTGTATGATGACGAAGATAATGATTCTGTTGAATATCCGATAGGTTGACTATCATCTCCAGGGAATATGAATGGTGAATGTATTGTTGGTTTATGTTGTAATAGATAGCGTAACTCTCTTACGCATGCTTGCATACCTTATGAAGATAAAAGCAAATAGTAAAATCAACAAGAAGAATCAAAAGACCAATAAAACTAAGACAATCTTTCAGAACAGTCGTTCATTTAGTGGCTCGCGATGTGTGACTCGGATTTTGGCCGAACGATAACTGAATATACTATGAAATTAATGTACCCTTTGATTTCATTCTGTATTATATCATGTGCTAAGGCGAACCTTATTTGTATGATGACGGTAATACAGATTCAGTGGGATGAGTTCATTTCAGACAATCTCGTTTATGCAGACAGACAGACATGAGGTCGGTGGGGGTGATAAAAGGTGAGAAAGTGAAACGAACTAGAGAAGGTGATTAAACCAAATTCAATGTAATGAATGAGGCGTCAGGACCAAGTGTTTTATAGTCAGACAAAAATTAAACTAGACATATTGTAGTGAACGAGAACACAGGTAGGGCAACCGAATTGTATTTAACGAAAATTACAGAGTTACTCAGTAAAATAGGAAAACCATATCGTAAATCGTTAATTTGCAAAATATCAGTTCATCATATCGAACTGGACTGTTCCTGTTGTAAAATATCAATCCATTGTCACTATTCATGCGTTTCATACAAATTCCATTGTGTTCTAACTTTTCCTTTCTTGATGTTCCCTCATCTTCTGCTGCCAGACATTACGTTATCACTCACGTCATATACTACTTATAAGTAGCTCACACCACAATATGATAAGCAAAGTAAATATGCAAGCATACACTCAAATCAAACATAACCAAGGTTATGTATGAGCGAACAACTTCCAAGGTCGAAAGACGTGTTTGAATAACAGAACTCAAGAAGAATGAATAAATTAGTTTGTCGATAGGCTGGGACAAGTCATGTGTGTGTGTGCTCAACAATTTCCATATCCTACACTGCAAAAATCATCAGAAATTTCGTTATAGTTATTTATATCAATCAGTTTAGAGTAAAACACAAAACACACAATGGTGGGTGACCTAACAATGATTGATTGATGATTTCAATGTGCAGAAAACACTAAGCTCCAAAACTATACTTCAAAAAAAATATCTTCGGTCTCATGAAAAAAACTTTCACAAATGAGCCTGTTTGCTTCACCTTTTGGCTTCTTGAGATTATTCTGTTTTTTAGAATTTATCTAAGCAGAAACGATTGATAATTATCGATTTTGTTTCTATTTGACAATAGATTTTAAAGTGGTATTTTTATTTGTGATGTTAATTTTCCCCGATGAACTCTGACTGAAACTAAAGGATAACTAAAAAGCAGGAAATACAAAAGAGCTAATTTGTTATTGTTGGGGAAGTTTAGATCCCTAGAACTCATTTGATAAAGCAGGTCCCAATTTTAGATTTTATGTTTTAGTTCATGGGTTGGTCAGCTGACCATGAGATCACATTTCCCACCAGGAAAATCCTTGACTGTCATTGGTTGATGTATTATTTTTAGCATGCTATTTTCGTGGTTCTCCCAAGGATGTTACTATCATGTATGAATAAACTCGATTCATGTGCTTGTGAACCTTTTATTTCTACGTGCTTGTAGAAAATACACTTTCTATGCCTTACCAAAACTTCATCCTCTGCTACTTAGTGGGGCCTTGGGACGCTCGGATTACAGTAGCCTATCGTGTCACTGGATCATTTGTCTTCGCTCTCGTAGTTACTACATTCAAGCATATCAATTGACACGGGCATAACAGTTACAACTTAGAACTTTGAAATAACGGATGTTGTTTTTTGTGTCTAGAATGACAATGGAAATTCTTCAACTAATTCAGTGAAGGAGAACACAGGTGAGGGAAACCGAGTTAATTGGTAAAATAGAAAAACCATATCGTAAATCGTTAATTTGCAAAATATCAATCTATCATATCGAAACTGGACTGTTCCTGTTGCAAAACATCTAATCCATTGTGTGACATTTCACTATTCATGCGTTTCATACAAATTCCATTGTTTTCTAACTCTTCCTTTCTTGATCTTCCCCCATCTTCTGCTGCCAGACATTACGTTGACACTCACGTCATATACTACTTATAAGTAGCTCACACCACAATATTACTGCTTCTACAAACAATTCTAACCTTTATGTTAATTAGTTTATCTCAGTGTACTAATAAATAATATGATTTCAAAAAATCGAATTCATACAACACACATATGAATGTGTTTTTATGTTGCTTATGACTGACTGACTGACTGACCAACTAACTTACTGATTGATTTAACGATACTTGATAATAATAAGTGAAAAAATTTAACAGAAACAACAACAATCTTACTGTCTGGAAAAGTTTTTTCATCAACACTCCATTCTAAATTCGATGATAATGCTCCTGGATTGATGGGACAGTTCATGAGTGTTTTATCCTCATCTTGTTCACTTGATTGACTGTCATTATTATTACTGTTATTATTATTATCATTTTCAGTAGTAGTATTTCGTTGGTCGAACTGATTTGAATGATTCAATTTTTTCGAAGTATGATATTCTGTTGCATTTACTGATGATAACTTAATTATGAAAAGGAAGAAGAAAAACAGAACATCTTAAAATCAACTAATCTATATCAAAAAACGAAAAAAGGGAAGCGTTCGCGCGTGAGATCGAACATCCTGTTGATGAGTAGTCCTATACTAGGCACGAGACTGCCATCCAGTGTTTCCAGGTTTCTAATGATTGATGGTCTAACTATAATTGGTTCATAATTTCAACGAAAATAAGAAAAACCAAAAATCTTTACAAACGATTAGAATATTTCTAGATTCTTATATGGTTATGATAGTTATAATAATAATAGTCAATGTATATTACTTAATTACTTACTTACTAACTGACGCCTGTTACCCCCAATGGAGCATAGGCCGCCCACCAGCAGCATTCTCAAACCAACTCTGTCCTCGGCTTCCCTTTCCAGTTCTGTCCAATGTTTGTTCAGTCCTCTCATATCCTTCTCTATTTCTCGGCGAAATGTGTTCCTTGACCTTCCTCTTTTCCTTTTACCTTGAGGGTTCCAAGTGAGGGCTTGTCTTGTGACGCAGTTGGATGCTTTTCGTAGTGTGTCCTATTCACTTCCACCACTTCTTCCTGATTTCCTCCTCCACTGGAATCTGGTTTGTTCTCTCCCACAGCACGTTGTTGTTGATGGTGTCTGGCCAACGAATACGAAGTATTTTGCGTAGACAATTGTTAATAAACACTTGTATCTTCTGGATGATGGCTTTATTAGTTCTCCAAGTTTCCGTTCCATACAGTAGAACTGTCTTGACATTTGTATTAGTCAATGTATATTAGAGTTTCTAATTGGCCTACAGCGATTTCATATATCTAGTTTTAAATTGGTGATATTTTTTTACAGTGTGGAATGCATCTGTAGTATGTACTGATGATAGGCAGAGCTCACATGGTTTGTCTTAACCTGCATGAACAAACTAATTAACCTTTCCCTGCCCGAATTACTACTACTATTCATACATTTTTTGACCTTGTCAATTATTTACTTGTAACACTAGTTGTTTTCACTCCAGTGCATATGTGCCTTTCGCTTACTTCATTTATCAACAAGTCTAGCCTATGTTTGCCATGTGGTGAGCGCTACTTATAAGTAGTATATGACGCGAGTGTAAACGTAATTTCTGGAAGCAGAAGATGGGGGAAGATCAAGAAAGGAAGAGTGGGAACACAATGGAATTTGTATGAAACGCATGAATAGTGAGTGAAATGTCAGACAATGGATTGATGACGGATTGAAGATTTGCAAATTAACCGTTTACGATATGGTTTTCTTATTTTACTGAGTAACTCTGTAATTTCCGATACATACAATTCGGTTGCCCTCACCTGTGTTCTCCTTCACTACAGCCTGACTATAAATACTTATTCATGTCTCATCACATTAAGTTGGCTCAACTCGCCTTCGCCGCTTCAGTTCGCTTTGCTCCTACACTTTATATTCTCTCATGTCTGTATGTCTGTCTACGTGAACAAATGTCTGAAATAAACTCGTCTAACCAAATCGATATTTGTCTACTTATTACCCCGCCTTCATACAAACGGATCTCAACTAAGCATGATATATACTGAAGTTGAAGGGAACATTTATTTGATAGAATATTCAGTTGTTCGTCCAAATCGGAGTCACATCAAGGGGCCATGAAAAAATTTACTTTAAGAATTCATGAATTCTTTATCTCTTACATGAGTAATGGTTTATCATAGGATATAGGCATAATAAGATAAGCTTCTTCTAGTAACTGATAATTAAATACGTTCACAGTAAAAATATACTATACTGATGATTTTAAATGAACCAATCAGAATTAAGTTAGTGCGAAATCGAATACAGGCCAAGATATTTTCTATGCAAAATGTCAGTAGTCAGTTTCTTCTAAGGTTAATAAAAAAAACCCAACCAATATACGCTTAGGCTAAATGACAAGGCATATCTGTTATTGATGCAAACTGTATGTTAAAGTACTTGTTATTGACTCATTTGAGTATACTCAAGGGTATTTGTGACACTCAAATAACTTGAAATATCAACATGAAGTAAACAAAAGTATTGTAAAGCATAATATCTGATGTCAGTTCGTAATGAAAACATTAACCTTAATTCATAATCCCAATCAATACATAATAACTCTAACTTCACTTCTATAACTTGTCCCAAACCTTTATGTATTCTAATAGATGATGTCAGTTGGTAGGGTCAAAGAGTAACTCACAAAGCTAGCCCAACTCATAATATGTAAATGTAAGCGTTTTTTTCCTTACTATAATCAATAATGGCTCGTTTCATCTTAACAAAACCGATATTCCACTGTAGTTTGATTGCTTTTCATGATGATTTATTTTATCATCAAGTAGTGTTTCTGATTGGAGGATAAGTCGCTCAAGGTCATTGATATGACTCTATTCAAAGTTCAATTTAGTTGATTTAAAAAATTGATGCATAATTTACGAAGATTCATTTAAATTGTTGCATGGTTCTTCAGATTATTTACGTTCAAATTTAATACGTGTTAATGCTAGGCTATGACGTAATATCGACAAGGGAGTAAAGATAATATCATTCTTAGAAGATTTATTATAGTGTGCAATTTTAATATGGTGTAAATATTAACAATACGAAATTGTTTAACTACTTTCGGATATATGTGAATAAGGAAGTGGGTATATAAGTGTTAGGTTGTATATAATGATGAAGTAACAATTCTTGTCTTCAACAAACTGGTCATCGACGGCACAATATTCTCACACAAACGCATACACAAAGCCACATGGATTTCACCGGACCACACTATTCAGCACCAAATTGAGCATATCTGTATCAACAAAACGTTCAGAAGGACAATGGAGGATATGAGAACCAAGAGAGGAGCTGATATAGCCTCAGATCGCCACTTGCTGGTCGCTAAAATAAGACTGAAACTCAAGAAGCACTGGATAACGGGGCAGACAACATCACACAAGTTTAATACAGCCTTCCTTCGGGATACCGTAAAACTCAACGAATTCAGGATAGCCCTCACCAATAGGTTCCAGGCATTTCAGGATCCACTCAATGGAGAGGATGCAACATTGGAGAACCATTGGAAAGGGATTAAGGAGGCAATCACTTCAACATGTCACGAAGTTCTGGGTCACAATAAGTATCATCACAAGGAATGGATCTCTGTTGATACTCTTGCAAAAATTGAAGAAAGGAGGAACAAGAAGGCAGAAATCAATGTCAGCCGAACAAGAGCAGAGAAAGTTACCGCACAAGCTGAATACACAGAAGAAAACAGGGAAGTGAAGAAGAGCATCAGAGCTGACAAATGAAAATATGTGGAAGATCTAGCAATGACGGCGGAGAAGGCTGCAAGAAACGGAAACTTGAGGCAATTGTACGAAACAACGAAGAACCTGACAGGAAGCTATCGTGAACCAGAACGACCAGTGAAAAGCAAGGAAGGCAAAGTAATCAGCAACACTGAAGAACAGCGAAATAGGTGGGTAGAGCACTCTCAGGAACTCCTGAATCGACCAGCTCCACTGAACACACCCAACATCGAAGCAGCATCCACGGACCTCCCAATTAATATTGGCGCACCTACGATTGAGGAGATCAGTATGGCCATCAGACAAATCAGGAACGGCAAAGCAGCAGGACCAGACAACATTCCAGCAGAGGCAATGAAAGCAGATGTAGAAGCAACTGCAAAAATATTTTACATCCTCTTCAAGAAGATTTGGGATGAGGAACAAGTACCATCAGATCGGAAAGAAGGATACCTGATCAAAATACCGAAGAAAGGCGATCTCAGCAAGTGTGAGAACTACAGAGGCATCACTCTTCTTTCAATACCAGGCAAAGTCGTCAACAGAATATTGTTAAACAGAATGAAGGACTTCGTAGACGTCCAACTTCGAAATCAACAGGCCGGATTTCGTAAGGATCGATCATGTACTGACCAAATTGCTACATTACGGATCATTGTGGAACAATCAATTGAATGGAACTCACCACTCTACATCAACTTCATCGACTACGAGAAAGCATTCGATAGCGTGGACAGGAAAACACTGTGACAGCTTCTTCGACACTATGATGTGCTTGATAAAATAGATAAAATCTTACGGAATTCTTATGATGGATTCAACTGCAAAATCATGCACGGACGTCAGCTCACACACTCGTTCGAGGTGAAGACTGGTGTGAGGCAAGGTTGCTTACTCTCACCCTTTCCCTTTCTCCTGGTCATCAACTGGATTATGAAGACGTCGACGTCTGGAGGGAAGTACGGTATCAACTGGACAGTTAGGACGCAGCTGGATGATCTGGACTTCGCAGATGACCTGGCTCTTCTATCGCACACTCAACAACAAATGCAAGAGAAGACGACCAGTGTAGCAGCAGTAGGTCTCAACATACATAAAGGAAAGAGCAAAATTTTCCGATGCAACACAACATGCACCAACCAAATCACTCTTGATGGAGATGCCTTGGAGGACGTTAACACCTTTACATATCTGGGCAGCATCGTCGACGAGAAATGTGGATCGGATTCAGATGTGAGGGCGCGGATTGGCAAAGCAAGGGCTGCATTTCTACAGTTGAAAAATATCTGCAACTCCAAACAACTCTCAACCAAAACCAAAGTCAGGATTTTCAATACAAATGTCAAGACAGTTCTACTGTATGGAGCGGAAACCTAGAGAACTACGAAAGCCATCATCCAGAAGATACAAGTGTTTATTAACAGTTGTCTACGCAAAATACTTCGTATTAGTTGGCCAGACACCATCAGCAACAACGTACTTTGGGAGAGAACAAACCAGATTCCAGTAGAGGAGGAAATCAGGAAGAAGTGGTGGAAGTGGATAGGACATACTACGAAAAGCACCTAACTGCGTCACGAGACAAGCCCTCACATGGAACCCTCAAGGCAAAAGGAAAAGAGGAAGGCCAAGGAACACATTACGTCGAGAAACAGAGGAAGATATGAGAGGAATGAACAAACATTGGACAGAACTGAAGAGGGAAGCCCAGGACAGAGTTGGTTGGAGAATGCTGCTGGTGAGCGGCCTATACTTCATTGGGGGTAACAGGTGTAAGTAAGTAAGTAAGTAATAGTTAGAGAGTAATCACATGATCAAAACTATTAAATTCAGCAACACAAAACTCGTTACAAAAAACATACTTGAGTTGTGAAAAAATTATTCATATCTTCCTCCTCATCATCTTCTTCTACTTCTACTTCATCAATTTGTTCATTACATTGAAGATCTGCTAATAATTCCGATAAATTTTGATCGGATTTTTTTGAATCATTTCTAATGAACGTTTTATCTCGTTCAATAGAAGAAAGTGATTGTGATGAATGTGGAATTCGACGTGAATTATTATTGAACATTGAATTATTGAAAGTTGATGAATTCGGTAAATTTGACAATTGAACAGGTTTTCTATTTGATGATGATGGTGATGATGATGATGATGATTTTGATGAATCCAATGAATTTGTTTGATTTGACATTTTTATCTGCTTTAACATTTGCTCAACGTTACATTTGGCCATTTTTGGACCTACATCTAAACTTGATTTGTCCAATCTAAAAATTGTTAAATTAATACACTTATAAATATGGAGAACTTGATATATTTTTGAAACCATGAATCAATCAATGTTAGACCACCATTAGAAACCTGGAAGCACTCATTGAACGGCCGTTTCGTCCTGGTATGGGACTCCTCAGTGGCAGTGCGCATCCACGACTCCTGCACCCCGTTATGCAAATTACCTGTGCTCGCTAGTGACTAGCTTCGTGAGGAATCTTCTCCGAGTTCTATTGGGAAGACGTGACCAGTGAAGCTCAACCTGTTCGGGTGTAGACAGTAACTACTACCGAAGACTGTGTATGAGGTTGCGCAACTCCGTGAATTTGATCAAGTTAGACATTAACACCGTTAGATACCTACTCAGTGGTCTAACGGTTAGGGCGTTCGCGCACAATACCGAAGGTCCTGGGTCGGAATCCTGTGAGGTGCTGGAGTCGTGGATGCGCACTGCTGAGGTGTCCCATACCAGGACGGACGGCCGTCTTGCAGTGCTTCCAGGTTTCTAATGGTGGTCTAACATTGATCGATTCATGGTTTCAAAAATGTGTAACTTAACAATCTTCACAACCCCGTAATGCAAACTTGATATATTTCAAATAATTGATTGTATCTGGGATAGAACAAAGCAGATTCTAGCAGACGAAGAAATCAGTAAGGAGCGCTGGAGGTGGAAAGGGCATAGAGTGCGGAAGTCACTCAAATGCATCATCACAAGACAAGTCCTCAGTTAAAGTCCTCAAGGTAGAAGGAAAAGAAGAAGAAGAAGACCGAAAAGCACATTACGCCGAGTATTGGAGACAAATGTCAGAAGAATGAACAACAATTTGATAGAACTGGTAAGGAAGCTCTAGGTTGGAGAATGCTGATCAGTGGCCTACTGGAGTGTGTGATTTTCACAATAGATTTCAGTTTAAGATCTGACTTTTACTGTAGTTGTGTTTTTTTCAACTCGGCGTGGCTGTTGAACACTGATCAATCATGCAACATAGTATTACGTTTTAAATTCTACACCGAAAATCCTCAAGTCACTAATACGTTGGTAGTAACTGATATAGCAGTATAATATACATTGCTTTACCATAGTGCAATTAAGTACAATAGAAAAAAATTTACAATTAGTTTGTAACACTAGTTTTTGATTTTCGATAAAATTACGAAACCATTAAGAACTCGTAAGTTACTGGACGATTATTTCATCCTAGCATGGGACTCCTCTCAAAAATAATGCACGCATCTCCCTGAAAATAGGAACTTGGAACCTAGTACACCTTTGGTCTCGTGAATGAACGCTTCCCGACCGTAGCTGCTACCTTGACGTGGTGGTCGGGTTTGCCTATAGTGATGACCCAACCGAGCTATACTGGCTGGAACATATGTTCCTGCAGGTCCTACCATGCCAGGCTGGTCGATTGGAGAACAATGAGACTAAAAGCAGCTAACCAAGGTCTGAGGGCGAAGTCGTAATGCTGACTGCAAAGGGGTGTGACACCGTAGGCGAGATATCCGTTTGCTGACTAAAGGACGAGTGTACTGCGCAGTAGTTCGCTCCGTCTTACTTTATGGATGTGAAACTTGGCCAGTGAGAGTAGAAGATATTCGTAGGTTACTGGTATTCGATCACAGGTGTCTTCGGAGCATTGCTCGTTTATCCTGGGACACCCGAGTGAGTAACGCTGTTATTAGGAATCGGGTGCTAGGTAAGAATGACAGATCAATAGACGCAGTAGTGACACTTCATCAGTTGAGGTGGTTGGGACATGTGTTGCGTATGCCTAACCACCGACTGCCTCGAAGAGCTTTGTTTTGTAGTGTAGGAGTAGGTTGGAAGAAAGTTAGGGGCGGCCAAACCAAAACATGGCACAAATCCATGAAGTCATTGACGAGTGGACTTAGCCATGTCGGTAATTGTCGACTACCTGATTGGGGTCCGCGAGATGATAATAATCGATGGTTAGAGACCTTGAATGACATGGCTCAAAAACGTTCGCAATGGCGCCGGTGCATTTATTCTTTGTGTTCTCTCAAATCCTAATCTTCTAGATTCTTCAACACCTCTAGTTTTGACTTTCTAAACATTTCTCACTGAATCATACTTCTTGAATAATATCTTCTAATAGTAACCTCTCCGATCACTTCTAAAATACCTTTACTACCTCTACTACTATTGGATTTGAATTGACAATTACACCTGTGTGTGTTGATGTGTTATGGCAACATGAACTGATGTACATACGTACGAAGTTCTACGTTGCATCTGACTGACTGACTGAACGCTTAACCTCTAGACCATTGAGCCAACATCCGAAGATTTTGAATTCAACCTGTGATTGTGATTTTCATGGAAGTTTAACATTCTCTTCAACCTCACATACTGACTATTTCCTTATTATAGTAAAAAAACAATACTTCACTAATAACACTGTTTTGTTTTTTTAAGAATAGACAGAAATAAAAAAAATGAGAATTTTAAACACTAATTACACTTACTCATATCGAATAACAATTGGTTTCTTGTTATTACATTTGGAAATATTTGTATTCGAAGATATTCTACTATGCATCATACTACTACTACTAATACTACTAATATTATTATTATTATCAGTAGTATTGATTTCATTCTTTTGAATATTTTGTCCATATGTAGTAAATGATAAATGTTGCAATTCATTGTTTTTCAATAATAGATTCGTGTTTTTAATATCAAATAAGCTAGAATTCTCTATTGGATGACGATGTAAATGAATGCCTAATTGTTGTATTAGTAAACGTTCAAGTAATGGAGGAGTTTTAGATGATCTACTTATGACAGGATTAGCATAAACTAAACATTCTTTCAATTTTGGCCATACAGCTATTGGTAATAAATGTTCTTCACAAGATATCTATTAAAATAGAATTTATATTTTTGAGAAAAATGGAAAAAAAATTAAGATTTTTTTAAATTATTAAATATACGATGGCAGATCAATAGATGAAGTATTGAAACTTCACTAGTTGAGGTGGTTGTTGGGACATGTGGTACGAATGCCTAACCACCAACTGCCTGGACGCGCTATGTTTTGTGCTGTAGGAATAGGTTGGAAGAAGCTTAGGGGCGGCCAGAACAAAACATGGCAGAAATTCATGAAGACACTGACTAGTGGACTGAGTTATGTTGGTAGATGTAGACTACCTGGTTGGGGTCCGTGAGAAGAAAATCGCCAATGGTTAGATACCTTGAACGATATGGCTCAGAATCGTTTGCAATGGGGCGCAAGTGCATCCATTCGTTGAGCTCTCAAATCCTAATCTTCTGGATTTGTCATCACCTCTACCTTTGTCTTTCTAACCTTATCTCATCGAATTATATTTCTTGAATAATATCTTCGAACCCTAGTCTACTTTATTAACATTAATACCTCTACTATCTTTATCACTATGGGATTTGATTTGACATTTGCGTCTCTGTGCTAATGTGGTATGGCAACATGAACTTATGTACGTACATACGTACGAAGTTCTACGTTGCAACTGACTGACTGACTGACAACCGAGAATCAATTGACCATAGTTAAGCGATGACTTGAAAATAGCAAGTACTGTATAGCTGTTTCATTCTGGTTTAGGGCTCCTTAGGAGTGTGAATACATGATCTTCCCAAGGGGTTGAACTTAATCAAGACCTTTAAGGTCTCGCGAACAGCATTTAACATTGAGACTATTGAGTTGGTATCTAATGACGAGATAGTTACTTTTTAGGCACATTGGCATATAGATGGGTGATTAGAAGTGAGATTAGAAGTGCTAACCATTATATATTGTTGACTAGGTGGATTAAAAGTTAAATGCTTTTCGCGAGCTCAACCAACTCCTAGTAAGATTGTGAATGCATACACCTGATGTGTCGCATACTATAACGAAACATCTATTCAATGTTTCTTAATTTTCAGTCATTATCTCGCTATAATCATTCGGTAATACAAACTTTGTAATTTATCCGTCACAAGTTTATTACACAGTTTTATAAGTTTAAATAATAACCAAACGACGAGTCTACTGAACAGCAGTTCGCTTCGTCCTACTTTATTGGCTGTGAAACATGGCCAGTCAGAGAAGAAGATATTCGTAGGTTATTGGTATTCGATCATAGGTGTCTTCGAAGCATTGCTCCTGTATTATGGGACAACCGAGTAAGCAATGCTATCGTTAGGAAACGGGTGCTAGGTAAGGATGGCAGATCTATAGATGAAGCAGTGTTACTTCATCAGTTGAGGTGGTTGGGACATGTGTTACGGATGCCCAACCACCGACTGTCTCGTCGAGCTAATGTTTTGAGGTGTAGGAGTAGGTTGAACGAAAACTAGGGCGGCCAAAACATAACACAAATATCCACGAAGTCACTGACAACTGAATTGAGTCATGTTGGTAAGTGTCGACTACCTGGTTAGGGTCTGCGAGATTATAGTAATCGATGGTCAGAGACCCGTTTTCAATGACGTTGATGCATCCTTTCTTTGTGTTCTCTCAATTCCTAATCTTCCGAATTCCTCATCACCTTTATCTTTTTTCTTTTACGTTTATTTCTCTAGATTATTCTCCTTGAATAACATCTTCAAACCCTAATCATTTCGATTACTGCTTATACCTTCACCATCTCTACTACCAAGGGATTTAAACTGACAACCCGATCTCCGTGTGCTAATGTGGTAATGTGGCAACTTTAGCTGATGTAAGCATGTACGAAGTTCTACGTTGTAACTGACTAACTGATTGACTGAATAATTTATCAAAACCTTTAGTCTACTGAATTAACTAACACCTCGGAATTATTTTATTAAGTAGAACATGGTAAATCAGTATTATAACTTACTTTATTATGAGATAAATCAATACATTGAAGAGATTGAAATGGTGGTGGTGGCGGCGGTACATAACTATTATTCATTGAAATATCACATTTTTGTTCAATGTCTAATAAAACAGGCTCATCTGTTGTAAAAGTTTGGCTAGGTAGGATAGGATTTTTTTCTCTAGGTGTTAATAGTAAATCAGTATTTGATTGATTCAATTTATTACAATCAATATGATGATTAGATTTTGTTTGTTTCTTATGAATTAAAGGAAATAATTTTTTTAAATTATGTAAACTAACAAATTCATTTACTATACGTATACGTGGAGCATTTGGATTTCGATATTCTTCCATTGATAAAGAATGATCTGAAGAGAAGAGAAACAAATGGATACATATTTGATATGTGTGTTTATAATTAATTACTTACTACTTACTAACGCCTGTTACCCCCAGTGGAGCATAGGCCGCCCAACAGCAGCATTCTCAAACCAAATCTGTCCTCGGCTTCCCTTTCCAATTCCACCCAATTTTTGTTCATTCTTCTCATGTCTTTCTCTGTTTATCGGCATAATGTGTTCCTTGGCCTTCCTGTTTTCCTTTTACCTTGAGGGTTCCATGTGAGGGCTTGTCTTGTGACGCAGTTGGGTGCTTTTCGTAGTGTGTGTCCTATCCACCTCCACCGCTTCTTCCTGATTTCCTCCTACACTGGAATCTGGTTTGTTCTATCCCACAGTACGTTGTTGCTGATGGTGTCTGGCCAACGAATCCTAAGTATTTTGCGTAGACAACTGTTAATGAATACTTGTATCTTCTGGATGATGGCTTTGGTAGTTCTTCAAGTTTCCGCTCCATACAGTAGTAGAACTGTCTTGACATTTGTATTGAAAATCCTGATTTTGGTTTTGGTTGAATGTTGTTTGGAGTTCCAGATATTTTTCGACTGTATAAATTCAGCCCTTGCTTTGCCAATCCGCACCCTCACATCTGCGTTGGATCCACCTTGGTTAAAGCTGTTAATGTCCTCCAAGGAATCTCCATCGAGTGAGATTTGGTTAGTGCATGTTGTATTGCATCGGAGAATTTTGCTTTCTCCTTTATGTATGTTGAAACCTAGTACTGCTGCTGCATAGGCTGCTGCTATGCTGGTCGTCTTCTCTTTCATTTGTTGTTGCGTCTGCGATAGAAGTTTTAGGAAAAATCTAAATCGTATAGAAGATTTTTAATAGGCTATGGAATGCATCACTAGTGTCGCAACTATTCATTCACTTAATTATTCAAGTAACGCGGCTCAGAATAGGATCGACCTTGAAGGAGGTGTATGTTTAACAAAATCAGATTGGTCAATTTCTTTCTCTGCATATCTAATATTGATATATATATATATTTCTGTAGTATCGATAAAAATCAATTCAAACTTAACGCAAGTAACCAAAAATCTATTTGTCATTGAGTGAGAGGTAACAGAACAATTGTATGCTTATTTGTTAGTAATACTATACAAATTAACTCTAACATACCTTACTTATATAAACTTCAGTTGAATATACTATAAAATTCGATGATAGTACTTCTTAACTCATGTCATATTTCACTTCGATAAAATTGATCAATGAATCAGTGATACATACTCCTCGATTCATGGTTTCAAAAATGTGTAACTTAACAATTTTCACAACAACCCCGTAATGCAAATTATCTGTGCTCACTAGTGACTAACTAGCTTCGTGAGGAATCTTCTCCGAGTTCTAGTGGGAAGACGTCGTGACCAGTGAAGATCAACCTGTTCGGGTGTAGACAGTAACTACTACTACCGAAGACTGTGTTTGAGGTTGAGCAACTCCGTGAATCGATCGAAAGTTAGACATTAACACCGTTAGATACCGGCTCAGTGGTCCGATGGTTAGGCGTTCACGCACAATACCGAAGGTCCTGGGTTTGAATCCTGCTAGGTGCAGGAGTCTTGGATGCGCATTGCTGAGTAGTCCCATACCAGGACGAAACGGCCGTCCTTCAGTACTTCCAAGATTCTAATGGTGGTCTAACATTGATCGATTCATGGTTTCAAAAATGTGTAGTTATACAATAGTAAGCATATGAACAACAGATAACATTTAAGCAGAAATTTTGAAAGATCAATTTGCAAGAGTATTTAAAATATTAGTACTTGTTGTATATCGTTGTTGTTTTTGTTGCTTGTGAAACTTTTTCCTTCTTAGAGAAGATAAATGATTTGGTTTTCCCAAAGTCCGTCTGTTTATTGTCATCCCAGGTCGATTATTGGCTAATTGTTTATTGTTTAAATCAGAAGGATTATCACCATCGAATTTATGATGAGATGGAGGAGCTTTCAGGCAATTTCCACTGATCATTAAACTCCTGGAAAAAATTACATTTATAATTAAACAATAATGAAAATAACGAAGGTTTAAAAAAATATTTTTATGACGTAAAATAATTTGTGTTTTAAAAATATACTACTTAAAAATGATGAAAGTAGGTTGAAAGTAAACATAAAAGAACTTAATATTGTATTTGTTTACATCATATTTCTTCTCATTAAATGGCTTAAAATAAATTTTAAAAGGGTTTTCCGAGCTTCGAACACGGTATTAAGTTTATTTACTTGTTTGTTATATATCTGAAAGTAATGGAGGAGAAATCTTAGACTTTGATTTCATGATAGTATTCGTTAACAAAGTATGCCCACAATCGTGAAGAGACTGATATACTCCATTTGAGATTGCAGTTTGATCTTCCAAAGTTCATGGTCTCAGTTACTACCATTGAGATGTTTACAAATGATTAATCACTGAGTGGTGAATATTGTTACCTTTGTCTAATCCTTAATGCCGATTCAATCCTACAAGTCAAGGTGTAATGTGGCAAATAGTATAAATAAGGTTGTCAGTAGTAAACCCATGGTCCACCTAGATTTTGAGCTTGTCGATACTCATCCGATCAGTGTGGGAAAGTCTAATCCACTAATCTACATTTGCGAAACCTTCAAAATAATGATTTATTCCGAAGTCTTCCAACTTACTACTCAGTTTCTCATAGCCAAAGAGACGTTATCATTGAGTTGGTCAATATGTGACTGAGATATTCACACCCATTAATCACGTCGTAGTAACAGGGAGCAATCAAAATACCACCGGGCATCAAATCCAAGACTTTATGTCTTTCTTACGAATGCTTAACCTTTATACCTCTTGAACTGATATGGAATAGTGTATACTTTATTTCACTTATGGTCAACCAGATGACACAACCAACAGCACATTGATTAGTTTATGAGATGTTGAACTGTTCAAACGTCAGATTTATTTGATTTAGAATAAGCATATTTTTACATTTTGATGATAAAAATTTAAGTTTTGAGTCAAAATGAAAACATAGACGACAATAAGTAGTGAGTTGTTACATTATAGAGAGCGAATTCACCTATTTTTTAAAATTCTAGTTTACATCATACAACCAATGAAAACCATGAAGAACTGGATAACTGTTTTCTCCCCCCCGCCAGTATGGAACTCATCAGCAGCGTAATATTTGACCGCGTTAGGCATCACAACCGGGGAACTTTAAGGTTTACATAAATGTTACAGGATTAGACACACACTGAAGAAAGCACCCAAGTGCGTCATAAGACAAACCATCAAGGTCAAAGGAAAAGAGGAAGGCCATCGGACGCATTACGCCTAGAAACGGAAATAGACATGAGAAGAATGAACAAAAATTGGACAGAACTAGAAAGGAAAGCCCAGGACAGAGTAGGCTGGAGAATAGTGATCAGGGGTCTATGCCTCATTGGGGGGAAACAGGCGTAAGTAAGTACGTAAGTAAGTAAATGTTTCAGTTTCCGACTATTAAGTTGAACGCTTTATGCTATACTCAAATAAGAAGGTTATCTAGTTATTCTTGGTTTTCTAATAGCTATCCGATTACATTTAATTCATTAATGTAGACAATTAATACTATTGTGGTGCCCGCTACTCATAAGTAGTATATGACGCGAATAAAAACGTAATGTCTGGCAGCAGAAGATGGGAGAAGATCAAGAAAGGAAGAAGAGTGGGAACACAATGGACTTTGTATGAAACGCATGAATAGTGAAATGTCAGACAATGGATTGATGTTTTGCAAATTAACGGTTTATGATATTGTTTTCCTATTTTACCTATTTTACCTGTAATTTTCGCTACATACAATTCGTTTGCCCTCACCTGTGTTCTCCTTCTCTACAGTATTACCAATTATCTGGTTGATAGACAATATAGAGCTTGCTAAAAAATATCCATTTAAACAAAGTTCCTTCAGATTATAATATTAATTAATATAAATGGAACAAGTTATACAACTAACGTTTTTTTTTGTTTAAAAATTTACTTCTATACACTTATTAGAAAATATTTTCAAAATAAATGGTGACATGATGTCACACAAAGATGAGTTGTTTTCAATGTTATATTATCAATGAAGTACATGTATTCAATATTCAGTCAGTCAGTTGCAACGCAGAACTTCGTACGTATGAACATCAGTTCATGTTGCCGTACCACATTAGCACACAGACACAAATGTCAAATCAAATCCCATAGTGATAAAGATAGTAAAGGTATTAATGGTAATGAAGACTAGGGTTTGAAGATATTATTCAACAAGTATATTTCAGTGAGATAAGGTTAGAAAGACAAAGGTAGAGGTGCTGACGATTCCAGAAGATTAGGATTTGAGAGAGCTCAACGAATGGATGCACTTGCGCCCCATTGCAAATGATTCTGAGCTATGTCATTCAAGGTCTCTAACCATCAGTGACTTTCGTCTCACGAACCCAACCAGGTAGTCTACATCTACCAACATGACTCAGTCCACTTGTCAGTGACTTCATGGATTTGTGCCATGTTTTTGGTCTGGACGTCCCTAGCTTTCTTCCAATCTACTCCTACACCACAAAACATAGCTCGTCGAGGCAGTCGGTGGTTGGGCATACGCAACACATGTCCCAACCACCTCAACTGACGAAGTTTCAATACTTCATCTATTGATCTGTCATCCTTACCTAGTACTCGTTTCCTAACGACAGCATAGCTTATACGGTTGTCCTACGATATTCGAGCAATGCTTCTTAAACATCTATGATCGAATACTAGTAACCTTCTACTCTTAACGGCCATGTTTCGCATCCATATAAGAGAACGGAGCGAACTACTGCGCAGTACACTCGTTCTTTAGTCAGCAAACGGACTACTCGCCTACGCCATAAGTGACGCAGGTTGGCAAAAGCCAATCGAGCTTTCTATATCCGCGCTGAGATTTCATCAGTCATCAGGCTATCTCTATTTTCAATTTGATTAATTACAAATATTATTATTATTAGATAAAGCTAAACTAACTGACTTACTCATTATTTTTAGACTGTTGATTAAAGCTAACCAACAAATTATTTGATTGTATAGTTTCATTGATGAAATTAGTTGAAGGTTTAAAAAAACATGATGCATTTTCGATTGTAGACTCATGTTGAAGTTTGATATTCTGATGTTTTTTTAAAGATATAGATTTTAATAGTGGTACAGTAGTAAATCTGTTATTGGCTAAATTTAAATATGTCAATCTGACAAACAAAAAATAAAAGATTAGTATTATTATTTTTCGAATTCTTTAAAATCCAAAAATATTAAGTGGGAAGTTAAGGATTTATTGATTTGTAAATAAAGGATAGTCAGTTTCATGTATATTTAGTTATTAATGCTGACCGAATTATGTTCAACAAGTTGTGATTTGTCCACTAGTGTGAGTAAGCTGACATCTTTTTATGTCATGTTTTAATGTTAGTTGGTTGGTAAGAAAAGCCTGATTTGAGGTTTCCTGGTAGTTGGCACTTGTCAGCCTGGTAATACACGTGTAATCTTAAGGGAACTGATGCTCTGTATTTCATCGTAGGGTTGCCAGTTGCTCATTTGGAATGGAGTGAATAATCCAATGAATGTCTCAGAGTGTGAAAAAGCTGCATGACACAAGTTCTAAATCCACAGAGGGTATCACTTATCCTCAAGGTTACATTTTACACCTTCGTGGAGTGAGAAGCCAGAAGAGAGAAGCGCAGTGTCGAATAAGAGTTGCACAAGATCTTTGGCAAGAAGTTTGGTCGAATTCCCACTCTCAAACTGCTCCTTCAAAACCTTGATCATACCATGATACGGATTCAGTTCCAACTGTTTCTTAGCCGCCATATACCCCATCGTGCTAGAGTCACGAAGAGCCTGAGCCTTCATGGTCCTTTCCATGTTTGCAGACCAGCCGAACTCTGACGTTACAACATAGTATCGCGATCCGGTGAGACGGTTAGATATACTCACCTTCTCAACGTTCTTGCCAAGTATCTGCTGGATCTCTTTGCACAGTGGTTCGAAAGACGCCTTCGGCTCCTCGAACTTCTTTTTCTCCTCTTCATCTTCAGGAGGCTGTAGACCATCCTTTGTAACACATACTAACTTCTTAGAGTCATAATCTCGTAGTTGCGTCACTGAATACTCATCAATCGGGTCAACCATGTACAACACCTCGAACCCACGCTGGACTAGCTTCTCAGTAAATGCAGAATTCTCCACTGATGTAGTGGATATCCTTTTGTTCAGGCTTCATGCGTGACACATAATCCTTCAAGCTTGTCATTTCATCACCACAAGTTGTTGAGTGGTAACGTAACAACTCGGCTAACTTCTTTCTGTTCATACTATCTTCGTGGATACCAAGTTTTCTATTCTTCGAGAATTGTTCAAAAAACTTCTTTTAGTTCTCCTTATCTTCAGCTGTCTCTTCAAACAACTCAATAAATTTCCTGACTAGGCTCTTGTGAATCATCTTCAACACGTTGCTCTGTTGCAACATCTCACGACTAGTGTTTAACGGGAGGTCTTCACTGTCCATGACTCCTCGGATAAAGGACAGGTACTCAGGGATCAACTCTTCACAACTGTTCATGATAAACACTCTCCGTACATACAATTTGATGTTATTTCGCTGCTTATGACCCTTAAACATATCAAATGGTGTGCGCTTAGGCACAAACAACGTCATAAGTTAAAATTATAATTACAGTCATATTTATCGTCTGTATTTCAATTTTATTACGACTACCATGCTGCTTATCTCGAAAGTTTCCTCTCTTGTTCTACTGACACTTGCACAGTTAAGGATTCATACCAGATCATGAACTATTCAGGAATGGTGATTGATCAAAGGGCTGATTTCTGTGTTATTCATCTTCTCTATTCTATAGCCTTTAGGTTTTGTCAACTTATTTCTCTGGACTTTAGTTATCTGTTTCATGGTATGACGATTTTAACTAATGTGCATACGTGCCAGACTCTACACTTCATTTGAATGACTTGCATTCAACCGTTGGTTACAATAATTAACTGTGGTCGGTTTTAATAATTCAGTTTCATACAGTTCATTCTCAACATTTATGAAACTTTCTACAGTACAATTAAACTGTAAAACTAATTAGAATGGAAAGTTTATGTGAGATTTTTCAATTTAAAAGCAATCTGAATAATGAGTACTCCTCTGGCTTATTAACTAAACAAACATTGAAAACTGAAAAGGATTTTCGTTAACTCACATAGTGAAATGGTTAAAGTTAGGTATATAGATTCTTAAATGTCAAGTTATTAGTCTAAAGGTTATAATGTCTCATCGTAGGAGCTGAAGCTCCTCTTCTGATCAGGCACAAAGTAGGGTAAACTACTTTTCCAATGCTCTTGCCTACATCGAATACAGAATATAATTTACTATTAAGGATTAGCTTATACATCATTTTGCATTGTGAAGTTAGATTAAAAAAAACTATATAAATAGTTTCATAAGAGCACTGATACCTTGGAAGAGTAGCTAAACTGGCGAAATCTTGTGCATCCGAAAGTTTATTGTCATCTAAATAGAGAATTTCCAATTTCGCAAATTTGAATACAATATGCCTAAAGAAATTAATTGTGGAAAGAAATAATATCAACTAAAACTTATTCTGTTAATATTCATAAGAAATGATTTAGAGATTATGGTATAGAGGGCTACTGCTGAACCTCTACATTACTAACATGGTCTTGCTGTAGTGAACGGGAACACAGGTGGGGGGCAAACGGATTGTATTTAACGAAAATTACAGAGTTACTCAGTAAAATAGGAAATTCATATCGTAAATCGTTCATTTGCAAAATATCAGTTCATCATATCGAACTGGACTGTTCCTGTTGCAAAACATCAATCCATTGTCACTATTCATGCGTTTCATACAAATTCCATTGTGTTCTAACTCTTCTTCCTTTCTTGATCTTCCCCCATCTTCTACTGCCAGACATTACGTTGACACTCACGTCATATACTGCTTATAAGTAGCTCACACCACATTGCCACTGAATTCCAACAATCCTTCGGACACAATGCTAATTGAACACAGAGAGTTCCTCGGAAAACCCACTCTTTAAATAAAGGATACTCTGTAAAACTGTAGGCTATTTGATTCGCTATTTTCATGACATCACCTAAATACTGCTATCTATGCTTTTCGATCGATCGGTAGTTAGCTTCAAACTGTACACACTTCCATATTTTGTTTCATCAGAAGCTGGATCCAGTTTGCCTATACTAATCAGTCTAGACTAGATAAAACCCAAACACTTGCAAGTTAAATAGTTTTCTCATAGACGCTAACAGAAGATTTCATGTCGATCGTTGCTCCTTAACTTCGAATTTGCTATAATATGGAAGTTACTATCTTCGTTGAATCTTGAATTTATTATACATTGTTCCCAAAATTTCAGCTTACTATCTCTTACAGTGTTTTTACTTACTAAGGTAATTGATATGGAATTCAAGTTGCAATAATAGCATCATTAATATTTTTGCTGGCGTGTCCAGTTAACGATAACCATATATTCAGTCCCACTTCTAGCAGTCATCAAAAATGTATCTTAATTATAGGTTTTTTTGTTACAGTTTGTACACGAAATGTAGTTGTTTAGTTTTCTAAATTTTACTTACACACATTTCCAACTACTGGATTATATTCATTCAAACATACAACTCAGTGAAAATATCTGAGGTGATAGAAGAACTATTCTAAGAATAATATTCTGAAGTGTTTAGATAAAAAGTATCGGTTATACTTATCATCATCACTTAGTGAGACTAAACCAGACAGACAGACAGATACAACGCAGAACTTCGTACGTAAGTACAACAGTTCAGGTTGCCATGCCCCATCAGCACAGAGACGCAACTGTCAGTTCAAATCCAACAGTGATAGCATTAATAGAAGTATTAGCAATAATGGAGAAGATTAGGGAGCGAAGATATGATTCGAAAAGTATAATTCAGAAGGAGAAAGGTAGAGATTATGAGGAATTCAGAAGATTAGAATTAAAAAGCACACAAACAGTGGCTGGACCTGCGCCATTGCAAACGATTTTGAGCCATGCCATTCAAGGTCTCTAACCATTGGTGACTTTCGTCTCGCGGACCCCAACCAGCTAGCTTACATCTACCAACATGACTCAGTCCACTTGTTAGTGACGTCATGGATTTGAGCCATGTTTGGGTTTGGCCGCCCCTAGCTTTCTTCCAATCTACTACTACACTGCAAAACATAGCTCGTCGCGGCAGTCAATGGTTAGCCATACACCAGTTAAAATGAAAGGTTTTTGAAAAAACCTAGATGCTTAGTACCAGTAAAATGTAGACAAATTTTTCCTACTGCTTTGGTTACAAATAACACTGAAAAATTACATATATATGTTGATGGTCAAACCACTCAGCTCATCGAACTTTTCTAAGTACGCTCATTTAAAAAAAGAGTTGAGTAGTTCAATATTCATCAAACTATTTCTCGTCCATTTTATTTCTTTTATTTTCTAATGTATACTTTGATAAATAGGTTAAAAAATCTTCATACACTTAATATATACTGTTTACAACTTACCCGTTAGAATCTGAACCTGTTTCTGCCAAGTCCGGTGGTAATCTACGAAGATCATTTCCACACAAATATAAAATCCGTAAAGATGGCAGGTAACCAAGTTTTTCAATATCCATAGGTTGAAGAAAATTATATGACAAATTAAGACACTGAAATAAAAATGTTTTGTTTTCATAACTTATTATTTATAAGTAGTAGAAATTGCTTGATTGCAGTTTATAGTATCATAAGATAATAAATTTAATAAAAATCGGTGAATAGAATACGAAGATATATTGCCAACAAGAGAGTTAATAAAGTGTTTTGTACGATGTTTGTTATTTGAAAGAAAATAGAAACTAGGTATTATTTCAATAATGGAATCTGCTTTCAGCACTATCATCCTTACTTTGCAACATGACTTAGATCAGTATTTAGCAAATATTTTCATTGACTGATGATACCTTGTTTCTATTTATTAATTACATTAAAGTTTGTCAATATTGTTATATTTCTACCAAAAATGTGACTGAAGATGCTTCATACAAATAATTTCATAGATTAATCGGTAGATCTGACCTTCTGATTAACTTTAAAGCCATATAATCTATGAATAAAGGTGATCTTTAATAAATAACACGATGTTTCTAACATGAATCTTGCATTTAGGCTAACACTTGATGCACATGGATAGATGTATTACCTATTTAGGATTAAATTTTTAAATTTTACGGTTTATTTGTGTAATATGAGGTCTACTGTCCAGTTTGAATTACAGTCTAGAATACGCGTTAAAATTGTGGTTAGGTTTTGTTCTCTGAGCTGGATGTTTTGATTGTGGAGCTTTTGTTGTTCTTCTAAATAACATCATCAGCACAAACTTCAAATAGAAGTCTGTCTACCACAATCATACATGTAAGTTACAAATTTTCTCCACCATCTCAAAATGAACATTACAGTATCAAATGGCTCAACTTTTGATAAGAAAACATCAAAATGCTTCCTAAAACAGAAAATTAACGTTCTATCTTGTCGTTTGCTAATTGTTCAAAGTTCCACCTTATGTACTTTATTTGTTTAGTGAGATTAATTTAACTTTGCAATCAGGATATGAAATATTCATTACAAAAGATATCATGTTTTTCGAGAGATTTTACTTTGAAAGTAAGCTTTTTCCTCAAAAAATAATAGAGAGATAGATTTCCGTGAAGTCGTCAACATGGTGTAGAAAAACTATTCAACATATCTAGAGTCGTTATCATGAGTAGTCAAAGTGTGATAATTATTTTTTAGGGTTTTTTAAGTAAGAAAAAATAGCTCTCGTAAGTAATCTATCAACTGGTCTTGCTAATTTGAGTGATTCTGACACATATTTAACTTTTGTTTATTGTAAAAAATGTACTAAAGAGAAGATGTAGAAAAGAAGTGTCGGTTTTTACGTTTGCTGACGATTACAAAACATTCATTAGCTTACATTCAAACTGTTGAACCCATGTGCGTAATTCGGAAGTGAGCTAATCTGGTTCAAAGAAAGATCCAATTCCATCAACTCATTGAATTGCCTAAATGATTCTACGAAATCACACATACCGATGCCAAAAATACCTAAAGAAAGGGTGTTATCAGAAGCAGTCAGTTTTCTCAGAGAGGTAAACTGTAGGTGCAAATCAGGTTGCAAGTCTTCCAACCCCAAAAACGATACATCAACTTCGTAAAGACTTGATGGATCTTGAGTTGATCCGCGTTTCAACTGGCTGAATGAACATTTAGTAAAAAGAGATCTCACTAGTATTTCGCTGGACAAAGTTATGTTAGCTGTATCAGACGTTGAAGAGAAGTCACTACCTGAGAGCTTTTCAGTTAAATTTGAAGTGTTAAAACCATCTCCTTTTTCTCTAGTCCATACACCAGCTAGAGTTATAGTTGTAACACTAATTATTGATTTGTTAACCTTTATCTTTCGTTAAGGGGTTAGGTGGAAGATAAAGTCCCATATTTTATATCCCGAGCGGCTCCAAAACCCTGAAGACTTGAAGCTGTAGTTTTAGAATAATTCAAGATGGAAATCTCTTCTAGGTTTTTCCATTTTTGCCTTGTCGCGTTGCTACAGCCTAGAGTCATATGACCTACAGTTTGAATATGTAAAACAAAAAACCATATCAAACTGGATATTGGATATTAGAAATGGATATTATTCAAAAAATGAACTGTGAATTGACAAAGTTCGGTGGCGACATAAACAGAAACAAATAAATAAGAATGGCGAAATTGGGTCTATTTTTCTTACTTACTTACTTTCGCCTGTTACCCCAAATGGAGCATAGGCCGCCCAACAGCAGCATTCTCAAACCAACTCTGTCCTGGGCTTCCCTCTCCAGTTCTGTCCAATGTTTGTTCATTCCTCTCATATCTTTCTCTATTTCACGGCGTAATGTATTCTTTGGCCTTCCTCTTTTCCTTTTGCCTTGAGGGTTCCATGTGAGGGCTTGTCTCGTGACGCAGTTAGGTGCTTTTCGTAGTGTGTGTGTGTCCTATCCACTTCCACCGCTTCTTCCTGATTTCCTCTTCCACTGGAATCTGGTTTGTTCTCTCCCACAGTTCGTTGTTGCTGATGGTGTCTGGCCAACGAATACGAAGTATTTTGCGTAGACAGCTGTTAATAAATACTTGTATCCTCTGGATGATGGCTTTGGTAGTTCTCCATGTTTCCGCTCCATACATTAGAACTGTCTTGACATTTGTATTGAAAATCCTGATTTTGGTGTTGATTGATATCTGTTTGGAGTTCCAGATATTTTTCAACTGTATAAATTCAGCCCTTGCTTTGCCAATCCGTGCCCTCACATCTGCATCCGATCCACCTTGATTGTCGATGATGCTGCCCAGATATGTAAAGGTGTTAACGTCCTCCAAGGCATCTCCATCAAGAATGATCTGATTGGTGCATGTTGTGTTGCATCGGAGAATTTTGCTTTTTCCTTTATGTATGTTGAGACCTACTGCTGCTGCAGAGGCTGCTGCTACACTCGTCGTCTTCTCTTGCTTTGTTGTTGAGTGTGCGATAGAAGAGCCAGATCATCTGCGAAGTCCAGATCGTCCAGCTGCGTCCTAATTGTCCAGTTGATACCGTGCCTCCCTCCAGCTGTTGACGTTTTCATAATCCAGTCGATCACCAGGAGAAAGAGAAAGGGTGAGAGTAAGCAACCTTGCCTGACACCAGTCTTCACCTCAAAGGAGTCTGTTAGCTGTCCTTCGTGTACGATTTTGCAGTGGAATCCATCATAAGAATTCCGTATGATGTTAACTATTTTCTCAGGCACACCGTAGTGTCGAAGAAGCCTCCACAGTGTTTTCCTACCCACGCTATCGAATGCTTTCTCGTAGTCGATGAAGTTGATGTAGAGTGGTGAGTTCCATTCAATTGATTGTTCCACAATGATCCGTAATGTAGCAATTTGGTCAGTACACGATCGATCCTTCCGAAATCCAGCCTGTTGATCTCGAAGTTGGGCGTCTACGAAGTCCTTCATTCTGTTTAACAATACCCTGTTGAAGACTTTGCCTGGTATTGAAAGAAGAGTGATGCCTCTGTAGTTCTCACACTTGCTGAGGTCGCCTTTCTTTGGTATTTTGATCAGGTATCCTTCCTTCCAGTCTGATGGTACTTGTTCCTCATCCCAAATCTTCTTGAAGAGGATGTGAAATATTTTCGCGGTTGCTTCTACATCTGCTTTCATTGCCTCTGCTGGAATATTGTCTGGTCCTGCTGCTTTGCCGTTCTTGATTTGTCTGATGGCCATACTGATCTCCTCAATCGTAGGTGCGCCAATATTAATTGGGAGGTCCTTGGATGCTGATTCGATGTTGGGTGTCTTCAGAGGAGCTAGTCGATTTAGGAGTTCCTTAAAGTGCTCTACCCACCTATTTCGCTGTTGTTCAGTGTTGCTGATTATTTTCCCATCCTTGCTTTTCACTGGTCGTTCTGGTTTACGATAGTTCCCGGCGAGCTTCTTTGTAGTTTCATACAATTGTCTCAAGTTTCCGTCTCTTGCAGCCTTTTCCGCCGTCATTGCTAGATCTTCCACGTATTTTCGTTTGTCAGCTCTGATGCTCTTCTTCACTTCCCTGTTTGCTTCTGTGTATGCAGCTTGTGCGGTAACTTTCTCCGCTCTTGTTCGGCTGACATTGATTGCTGCTTTCTTGTTCCTTCTTTCTTCAATTTTTGCGAGAGTATCAACAGAGATCCATTCCTTATGATGCTGCTTCTTGCGACCAAGGACCTCCTGACATGTTGAAGTGATTGCCTCCTTAATCCCTTTCCAATTGTTCTCCAATGTTGTGTCCTCTCCATTGTGTAGATCCTGAAAGGCCTGGAACCTATTGGTGAGGGCTATCTTGAATTCGTTGAGCATTACAGTATCCCGAAGAAAGGCCGTATTAAACTTCTGTGATGTTGTCTGCCCCGTTGTCCAGTGCTTCTTTAGTTTCAGTTTCATTTTGGCGACCAGCAAGTGGTGATCTGAAGCTATATCAGCTCCTCTCCTGGTTCTCACATCCTCCATGGTCCTTCTGAACTTTTTGTTGATACAGATATGATCAATCTGGTTTTGAGTAGTGTGATCCGGTGAAATCCATGTGGCTTTGTGAATGCGTTTGTGCGGGAATATTGTGCCGCCTATGACCAGTTTGTTGAAGGCACATAGGTTTGCAAATCTCTCACCGTTTTCGTTTCTTTCTCCCAGTCCATGTCTTCCCATGATGTCTTCATATCCAGTGTTGTCCATTCCAACCTTGGCATTCAGGTCTCCCATAAGAATCGTCAAATCCTTTGGTGAACATTTATCGACGATTGACTGCAGCCTTTCGTAGAATTGATCTTTGTCGTCGTCATTGTACTCATTGGTAGGTGCATAACATTGGATGACGTTCATTGTAATATCCTCTTTCTTTGTTTTGAAGGATGCTTTAATGATCCTGGGTCCATGAGATTCCCATCCTATTAGTGCCTTTTGTGCATGTTTGGACAGCATCAATGCAACTCCTTGTGTATGTGAAGTATTTTCCTCTTCATGACCAGAGTATAACAGCAGTTCCCCTGAAGCTAGTCTCAGTTGTCCTACCTGTGTCCAATGTGTTTCACTGATTCCAAGCACCTCGAGGTTGTATCTTCTCACTTCTGCAGCAACTTGAAACAGTCTTCCAGTCTCCCACAATGTACGAACGTTCCATGTACCTAAAAAATGGTTGCTCTGGTTGTCAGAAGAGGCATCAGCCCCGTGACTTCCGAGGGAACTCGGCTTTCATCACGCGACGTCATAATTCTTCCTCCAACTCCCAGGACAGAGTTAAAATGGTTTGAATTATTTTTTCTGGTTAGCGTTTTTTTGGCAAGTTAGTTTTTGACGGAATGGGGTCGCCAACCCCATATCCAACCCTCCTCCTTTACCCGGGCTTGGGACCGGCAGTAGCCCCGAAGGTTCTACTGGCGGAGTTTCTATTTTTCTACAGGACGTAAAATATTTAGGGTAAATGTCTGTTTGTTGAGGAAATTTGTAGATGGATTGATTTTAAGAACACGAGGCAGGAAATATCTCTACGTGACAGTGCAGAAAAGTATTTAGAAGCTCGCTTGACTCAGTTTGATGTATTCAGTTTACTTCATTGTCTCTCTTCGGAAAACCAGAGTTTAACGAGTATATTTTGCAAAATGAGGAAACGTTGAAGTCGATAAAAATATACTGAAGTATTATGCATCAGTTCCAAGCAAAACACTAATAAGGTAAGGTAGGTAAGTAAGTTTCTAAATGCAGATGTAGATCCAATATCTTTTTCACGAGATAGTAAAAACCAACTGATTTCTTCATGCTCGATTCCTATGCTTTATTTCTGTTCATTGCAACGGATAAATGTAGAAATGGATAAAATAGAAGGTAATACTGATGTTTTGAATATTTTAACTAATATAAACGGGAGATAACTCACGCACTGGACTGCGTCATCGACTGTTCGCGAACAGAGATTACGACTGTCAAACTAGGAGCTTAAGATATCTAAATAATTTTGGAAAATACTGAAAACCAGTTATCCAATATCTTTTTCACGAGATAGTATGGACCTGGTGATTTCTTTGTGCTCGTTTATCGCTCTTTCGGTACAGTCCTAGGTAACTGGTAGGTTCCAATGAATGGATGGTCTAGCCGCTCGACTGTCTAATTCTAGTCGTTTGGCAGTTGTTTGTGAGTTTATATGTTATGTTATGCTGAGCAAATATAATTCATTTCAAGCTTTCGTGATAGTGATTGTTTATCCACTCTCATGACTCGAAAAACGTTTCATAGATACTTAAATACTAAGTTAATATCTGTTAGGGTTGAACGTGTGGTGGTTTTTCGATGTCAGCAAGTAATTATAATATGTTTTCCGAAGTGGATTACTTAAGTTCTGACGCTTACGACTACTTAGAATCCTTCCCATCTAGTGATTTAAGTTTATGAGGATATCTGGTACGAACTCATTTTTTAAATTCGTCTCTTTTAAGGAGATTGTTATTAGATAATTATCCTGCTACTGTATACATTAAAAACCTTTTTACATATGTCTCGTCTTTGTTCCTTGAGAATTTTCATCAATAAACAAGCACATAGAAGTACAGGTATTTTAAACTTACATTATCCTCTGTGTCATAACTCCGCCAGTAGAAACTCCCAAGCCCGAATAAAGGAGAAGGGTTGGATATGGGGTTGGCGACCCCATCCTAACTGAAAACTAATTTGCCAAAAAACGCTGACCAGAACAAATAATTCAAACCATTTTAACTCTGTCCTGGGAGTTGGAAGAAGAATTATGACGTCGCGTGATGAAAGCTGAGTTCCCTCGGAAGTTACGGAGCCGATGCCTCTTCTGACAAACAGAGCAACCATTCTTTTAGGTACATGGAACGTTCGTACATTGTGGGAGACTGGAATGAAAAGATACAACCTCGAGGTGCTTGGAATCAGTGAAACACATTGGACACAGGTAGGACAACTGAGACTAGCTTCAGGGGAACTGCTGCCATACTCTGGTCTTGAAGAGGAAATGCTCCACATACACAAGGAGTTG